TCTATTTATTCATTCATCTACATTATTGTAACATGAACAGTTAAACGAACGTCCATCAAACTGTCCGTAATAACTGCATAATACGAAATCACACGCAGTAATTGGAATAATTCAATTTAACACTTGAATTCTATAGAATATCAAATGTAAAATAAAACTGCGGGGTCTCGTAGATATCTTATGTACAATGTAGCAGAAAAGTCTCGCAGGAACTTTCGTAGGAGCCCGGAATGAAATACGAAACTTGGAAAACCGCAAACATTCTTTTGTTTCGGCGCCTTGTCTTTATTACCTTCGTTTTCCCAGAAAAATTGTATTTCCCCGGCATTTTTCGTACACTTTAATAAATACTTCGTTAACAATTACCCTCAAACTTTTCCCTGAAAAGCTCCTGTTTTTTTTAGGTCACTCTATACGTAACACTCATTGTTCCGGGCACCTCGTTGCTCCGAAATAATACGAAATCGACGGTTCAACTAATCCCGGCGTCCACTGTCTACAATTACATCGCGATCACAAACCTTTGTAACGAGAGGATCGCGTCGTCTCTCCTCTAATTAATTCCCCGCGGACAATCCGATCACTGCGACCGCACATTTTTGCGAATCCCTCGCAACCCCTGCGGTCGTGTATGCGACATTATCTGTAAATCACCTTACAAAACTCCTCAGTGAACCAGTTAACCTCTTGTGCTGGGAAGACATGCTAAAATTGCCAATGACGTCTTGTACACATTGAGTCTTGTTGCATTATGCGTATTAGCTTTTTTTTTCAAATGTATCACTCTATAGAAAATTATTAACACGTTGAATGCCACGATTTCATAGAGCAAAATACACGACATGGAAGAAATATAATATTAAATCATTCGATTATTTCTAATATAAAAATGTTTTTTGTGAATTATAAAAATTTGATTCGGTTTGGGGTCACCGGTAATACCCATGGCATTCAACATGTTAATAAACAAAATTAGTAAACATACACCGGCGTAACATAGGTAAGGAGAAAATTATTTGTAAAGGCTTTGCCAAATCTTTGAATTCGTTTCCAGAGCAAGAGGTTAACTGCGTTCGACGAGTGTACACGTCATTTTAACCCTTTGCACTCGTGTGTCATGCTGCAGATGACAATACAGATTAGTTATAGAACGTTGGAAATTGTTTGAGAAAGTAATACACTTTAACACGTTGACTGCCACGAGAATTTCTAGCGTTTTGAATAGTAATACTTATTCTTTAATAACGAAGGCAAATGATATTGAAAATAATTATTAATGATTTAGTATCATAGTAGTCATATTACGCTATGATCTAGCTACTTATGTTACTAAATATTCTTATTTAAAATCAAGTTTCTTATTGTAATTGTTCTTCAGCAATTTGGAAGCTCTGGTCGTCAGTGACCACCGTGGCAGTAAACGTGTTAATAGAGTATGAAAATGAAATCTTATTATAATAATGATAAATAAAATAAATATTATCGATATGAATCACTTTAATTTGTTTCCCTAAAAATAAATACAAGTTTACACTCGACAGCATTGAAAATTAATCGAGTACGAAGGGTTAAAACGAATGGTACGAATCTTTTCAATGATAAATTCTTTATCTTCTCAGATAAACGTTTAATTATTCTTCTTTTTGTTGTAGTTTTTCGTTAGAATATATTATAAGTTCGTTTGCCACACGTCTGACAAGTATACACTTTATTATTTGATTTCATTGTGCGCACAGTTAATTGGTTAAGTCTTTTTCAGCTGCTTTGCAACGTTTCACTTGAAATATTATTGAAAAGTAGGAGCATAGACTAATAACCTAGACTGTGGACTCTATGTGTTCAGAGGGAATTTTAAGTTGCACAATTGTACAGGACGCAGAAATGTATAAAATATCTGAAGTGCAATACTTTCTGTAATATTTGTTGAAATAGGAAGTTTCTTGTTTTGTTAATTGTACTCTTAGAAATTTGATGTTCTTAAAGTTCCTTTACTAATGACAATTTTTTTTTAAATATCCTGAAAGTTTAAGAATGTCTTTGATAAATCACGAACACGTCTAAATTGAAACAAATCAGTCTTTCCTTGAACATATTATAAAAAGCACTAGTCTTCAAAATTACTCAGGAATGCATAAAGATCCGTAGTCCACTCATAAATGTATAAAATTACAAAGATTTTCAAGTTTCACAGAAACCAGCGAATTAATTTCCTTCGGAGGTTAATCGTTTGAGAAACGTTTTTTTCTTCGATGTTAAACATTCGAAAAATTATAATAACGTAACAATTGTCACGAATATACATGTTTCAGCAAGATACATTTACAATGAAGCTGCGATTTTCGATCAGAGTGACGATAACAGCGAACTGTAGGAATACATGCTTCTGTTTCACAATGAAAACGTTTACGTTAGAGCGACGCACAGAGCTGCGTTTAATAATCGATCAACGATACAAATAAACCACTCATTAGTCAATCGGTTAACTCCTCAAAACAAAAAAACAGTGAAAAATGCAATAGTTATACATGAATACTCGAAATTTCCGTTTAAGTAGAAAATTAAATAATCATTATAGAACGTATTTTATTTCATTATTACAGCTGCAGCTTTAACCTAAAGAACATATAAAATGTATAAAATAGTATAACATTCAAGTCATTTTTATTATTACTGCAAGTTTTGCATTGGAAATGGAGTTCTTGTTATTTCATGATATCACAGCCAATAATAAGAAAATTTATTTTAAACATGGAAAGTCAAGAGCCAGTGAAACACTTTAACGACAAAATCTGAAGAAATTCCAAAGGTGGAGTTAAATTGATTTAACCAATCAGCAACTCGAATAATAAAACGCACAACATTTACGTATACAGTGTAATCTTTTAAAATATATTATTTCGTCGAATTTGAAGATGATAATTCTTCAGAATCTCTCGTATCACTTATTCGTCTTCGTGAAACTCTAACTAACTGAAACCATGTAAGTATCGCAACTCTGCTATAACGTTATCCGAGGAAGATATTTTATCGTCGGTCTGATCGACACATAGCTCCTAGCTTCTGTCGCATCTCAGCTGTAAATGTAGCGTTATGCTTCAATATAACTGTCTCTAAGAAATTACGCTAAAAGCAATTTAAAAGTGTGCAAACAATGAAATTATAATAGAACATTGATTACTTGAACTACTTCGAGGAATTCGTCAACATAAGTGTCTTTTTGAATAATTCGTTTGAAAAGCAAATTCGTAGAATGTGTTAACCAGAAACTGAATAATTTTCAAACATACTTTCACCCTTTCACATGCGTTCAATAATATTTAATTTATCTACTAATTTCAACGCCACCCTTTTTCTTTCAGCACTGTTCGTATAAATGAAACTCGGATACTAAAATGGAACACTCGACGCAGGATATCGTGTTCATAAAATGTAAACATTGTTGGATGCGTAGTTGACACAAGCTGAAAATGACTCGTTCCTAATTTCTTCTTTCGTAATTATCGAAATGATACAGCTGGTTTTCTGAGAAATTCCTGTACGAAGTTATATAGTAATAAGACTGAAGTACAAGAGAATCGAAATCTGAACGCACTTTCATAGTTTCTAGAAAAAAATAAAAGCTAATCGATTGTTTGATAATTCTGGTCTAGCCTTTGACAGTCGAAATGTTTCACAGTAATACAAAAAACTACGTTCTCCATCTCATTGAATTAAAAATATCAATATTTTCCCCACATTCCCAACATTCTATTATCTTATATCTGAAATAAGTGTTACCAAAAAGTTGTACTAAATAAAAGTACATTTAACACGTTCCCACACAATCTTATTCGCACAATCGAAAAGCAGCTAATTAACACCTTGCCCGCAATATCGTGTCATACAGGTGAGGCAGATTTCCCAGGGAAGTCAGCAACTAATTTGTAGCAATTTAGAAATAATTAACACTAGAACTGCCGTACCAATCAAAACGACTGACTTCGGATTCTTCCCTAATGCGTATCTAAGAGCATTGAATATTCGAAGTGATTTTGAAAATAGTTTTACTTGAATACTATAACAAATATCCAAGGAAACTGAAAATAATCGATTTACAATTTTTCGGTAGATCTACTGTTAAACAGTACATTTCATTTTATTCCATCGAGTTCAAATGAAATATTTTCCTAATTCCTAATCATCGGAGCAAACGTAAACCTAAGAACTGTGTGCGATCCTTTTATGTCTAACGATTCATTGACAACGGAATAATTAGAACGAGCTCGGTTGTGGAAGAAATCGTAGGGCAAGGGGTTAATACTAGAGTCACCAGATGGGTCAAAATGACCCATCCCTCATGTATTCTTTCACAATAATTGAAAACATATAGATACTTCTTCGAGAAATGATTAAAATAGTTGATTGATTAATATACAAATTCAAATATAACTTAACTGATATCTTAACACGTACGCTACCAGCGTTTGTTTCGGTGACAACCTCCGCCGTTGTAATATTCTATCCGATTCAACAAATCTAAACAAAATACTGAAGAAATAAAACTAAAACGAGTCAGCGAGTCCCCAAACATAATGCGGTAGCTTATAACGTTAAATAACAATGTTTATAGGAATAATTTAACCCTTTGCGAACGGAGGTTCTTTGGAATATACGAAACCTTCAACACATGAAGCTAAAATATATACCAAGTGCTCAAATAGAAAAAAAACAGAAACTACGTGCTGATCTCTTGCGATTCGAATAATTAAATCATTCGTTTGCGACTTAGTCTTCGAAACATGATCACTTTATCGCTCCGAAATGTCGACATTCGTCCGCGAAGGGTTAATTTTCTTTGTGTAAAATACAACATTATTGCCGTCAAATATGTGACGCTGATAGCGAATGTGTTAATCAAAACGCACTTCTACGGTTTCTACAGAAAAATGTTTAAAGGTGAATTGAACTGCTCGGTAGTTCTAGTGTTAAAGTGTCCGCCATGGTAATGAGTTTCCACCTACTTGGCTGAGCCTGCGAGCTTCCTGTTTCCCTTTTTCTTCCGTGCGGTCGGGGGTAGTGCCGCGGGCTGATGCTTCCGGCGGAGCACGTTCGGGGCGGATTAAATCGCAGAAGCGGAACGGATCACTGGCGATACAACGAGCGTGCGACGTGAATGACGGACAGATGAAGCACAAAGTGCGCGCAGCGGGCTCCGGTTTCTCCTCTTTATACCCTCGAACTTGCACCTGTGCCTGCGCAGATCGGCCGCCTAAGCTGCGTCCACCGGGCTCCTTGGTCCGGCGAACGGCGGGAACCAACCACGTGCTCCGATCGCGCGTCATATCGATGCTCCGCGTTTCATATTTCAAATCTAATCTTTCACGCCTTCTCGCCGGCTCTCCTCGGCCGCCGTTGGAAGATTTAGGACTGCAACATGCAATTCCTCTTCTTTTTCTTTTTTCCGTTTGTTTGCTTTTTTTCGTGATCGAAGACTACCGAGGACACCGTAGTTGCGAGCTTTGGCAGCTTTTGCATTTCTTTTTCCATCGAGATGGAAGATTTAGGGTTGCAACGATTCCTCTTCTTTTTGCTTTATTTTTTGGTTTCTTTGCTTTCTTATGGTGATCGAAGACTGTCGAGGACATTGTGCTTGTGAGCGTTGGAATTTTTTGGATTTCTTTTTGTATTCAAACGTTTTATGAGTTGCCGAGGATACTTTAGTGTACTCCTTGTATGGAGGTTTTGTTTGGAAATGTTTATTGGTAAATCTAAAAAATTATAGTAATTCAAATCAATTGTTTTTTACTTGCATTCATTCAATGTGTTGTTTACGTGTTCACATGAATGTGTTTGTTTATCTGAGTGACTGGTTATGGTATTCGAATTTAATTATTACTGTTTCGTGACTAAAAAATCAAAATCGTCACATGATGTCACTAATAATTGTTTCTGGAATTTTTGCAAAACTGAGAAGTGCACGTTAATGAATGAAAAAAAATGATTAACATTAGAACTACCTTACAAGTCGAAATGACTGGTTTCGGTTTTCTTTCGTTGCAATTATTAATAACTTGAAAGCATTGAATATTCAAAATAATTTTGAAAATAAATAATTTCACTTAAATACTATAATCAATGAATGGAGAAACTGAAAACAATCTTGTCTTATAATTTTTTATTACTTTTAGAGAAGACAATTCCATTTAGGAAGTGACAATCACGCGAATAGATGAATAATGTTCCTCCCTGAGCGTATATTTTTAAACATTCGCCAGTCATTAGTGCATTGTCATGACCGTAACTACATCATTTTTGTATTTGGTGCTGTAGCTGACAGCCAACCGAATTTACGGCCTTTCAAAATGGGGATGAGGATTCCAATACCGTTCACCGAATTCACGTGACACCGAAATCTAAGCCGGTAGGAGAAAAATTCGTCAAAATGTTTTATCGCAGGGTTTATATAGGACTATATCTAAAATTGAAATCTGAAAAAGGAAAGTATAAGTTACTCACGGGTAAATACGATAATCATTTAAACAAATTAACACTTTCGAAATCTCGCTTTTACTGCGACGCTGATGATCAAATAAGAGAACCTATAAGATTAATTTAAGAATTTGCAATTTAAATATTCTACAAGAAAATTTAGTCTTTCGCTTATAGTAATATTTATAATGTTATATATTTACATTAGGAATATTTTAATGTATGTGACTAAATTTCTCATTAATCAGTATGCACGTTTGGAAATATCGACTTACTGTTGCAACGATGAAGTAATTTAAATTACAATGTACACTTTACGAAATTATTGTAAACGCAGTTAGTAACAAATTCGACGGATATATATTCATGGTTAATGCACGTGTCCACGTCAAGCCTTGTCAAGTGCATATGTTTCATATTGAAATTGATTTCATAAGAAATTGATACACTTAATTCAGTTTGGCGTATTGTCATCCGTTCAAATGAAACTTCTCCAACCGCAATCGTAAAAAAGTAATACTGTATGCTACGTAAAGCGACATTCTTGGCGAAATATGTTTCGGGAATATCGAATATAAAGGATGTTATAAAATTATTCTTCGCGTTCTGTTGTTTCTCTTACAGAGATAGAGAGTACGCTGCAAAGTGCAATGGCGTTTCGTAAAAATGCTAATATTTAAGATAAATAAATGAACCTTTTAGCAATATTAGTAACTATCCACGACAAATCATGTTACCATTTAGTTGCAAGAAATTACGAATTTCTCATTGGTACACCAAATGGAAATCGATTCCTCTGGATATTCCGCGTACGAACGTATCACAGTTAAAATGCTTGGGGAATAAATAATTCACGAGACATTACAAGTCCCGTCATAAATGATAATGCTGCGGGCCAGAGTAGTCAAGATTGCACAGATGAAAATCTGATCAAAAGTGTATGTTCTATTAAACATTTCTCGCAAAAAGTAGTAGCTTATTTTCCTTAAAAAAATGATACCTTATTATATCAACTATAAACGGTCATTATCAATATGAAATACTTAAAGTAATAGATTATCAAAGAATAAAATAATTTAAAAAATAAATAATTGTATAAAGAATGAGTGAAGAATAAATACTTATATAAAGAATAAGTAAAGAATAAATAATTGTATGAAGAATAAATGAAGAATAAATAATTTCATAATGTATGTAATAATACAAAGACAATACACTCGCCAAGCTCATGAAAATACAATGCTACATTGTGTCAGGAAAGTTAGGAATATAACAGTAATTCGAATTTTTAGTCGACTGGCTTCCTCGCGCGTTATTTTAACTACGGGGCCTCATTTTATTCCAATTTGTCGCTTACAAGAAGAGAAAAAGATTAATTCAACAATGTTTTTTCACCCAGTTGCATCAGACAATCTGTACAGCCATAGAAAAATCCTACAATTAAAAAGCTTCGGAAAATTCGATAAAAAGGATGTTGCAGATAAGCGAAGAAGTCATCGAATGTGAATAACTGCTAAGATCAATCTGTGCGGCAGAAATCCGTGTCTAGTCAACGAGGAACCAAATGCAGAATCAATTGGTTCCGCATTGGAATGATTGATACGCCGAGAGACGTACAATGTAACGTCAATTAAACGAACTAATTGGTATCATAACGGTTACCAGGCGATTGTCCGAAAATTTTTCGACGCGACCGTGTCATTCTCGTCACCGAACGTGACGTAGGAACAACTTAACCTATTATGGATGAGACGAATTTCACACCGGGTGTGTAACTCAGTAACCAAACCAGAAGATCGGGCACAAACATACGAATAAAATAAAGATTAAAATATTTTATTTTTATATTCCGTGTCTAATTACATTATTATAACAAATATGTGTGAAGATTAAGCCCGTGTACTCGAAAGTTTGCTCTCTGCATATTATTCATTATTTTCTAATGAAGCATTGACTAAACCATTGATCCTATTAAATAGAAATATCATGAGTTAATGGATAGAATTATTTTATTTCAATATTTCGTGACTAATTGCGTTATATGCATACAATTTATGTTTTTTTAATTTCAATTTTCAATTTATATTATTAT